CAGGAGGGTGTGGAGGGGAGGGCAGGAGGCTGTGGAGGGGAGGGGCAGGGGGCTGGAGGAGTAGGGGAGTGGAGGGAGGCACAGGAGGAGTAGGACATGTGCAGTGGAGTGGGGCAGGAGAGGGCAGGGCATGGGGAGCACAGAAGGAGAGAGGCCACTGGTTGCTAAAGCAGGACGCATTGTCCAAGGTGTCTCTGTGCCCAGGCAGAGGGCCCTGCCCTATACCATGTTCCAGGGGCTGGCCTGAGCATGGGGCCAGGGTAGGGGGTGGGAGATGCAGGCTGCCACTCAGGGCCCTGCCTTGGCCTGTGAGGTTTGGGTGGCTCAGTGGCAGCCCATGGCCTGGCTCTGCGTCTTCCTACAGGGCAAGTGCGCTTGGCGGTTGCCCAGCAGATCATTAGCTTCTGCCTCTGACTCCACCAGTGTGTCTAACACGAGTGAGCCACTTCCCGCAGGGGGAGACACTAGGGGACCAAGTAGGGGCTCCTTGCTGGGCCCAGAGGCCTCCGCCAGGACTGGTGCACCCGGGCAGGCTGGTATGTAGGCAGCCAGAGCGTACGTGAGTGGGCGGGGCCACGGGTAAGACATGTGGGACCCTGTGGGTATGTATCCAGGCCAGGAGGCTCTGGGTGTGAATGTTCCTGCACTGGATGTATGTGCACCCCCATGTGCATTAGCCTGGCTCAGAGTGGAGGGGGGCTGTATGACTGGCTAGAGCATGGCTCTGTGCTGTGTGTATCTCTCTGGGCTTTGCGTGTGTGCGTTGCTGCATGTCTGTGTGCTATGGCCATTTGCATGTCTCTGCTGCGTGTGGAGGTAATGCCCCCACACCCTGCGGGGTTCAGTCCCCACCACAGGGTCCCCAGCCTTTAGGGGGAAGCATATCCGTTTCCTAGACCACACGCTCTCTTCCCTGCCCTGCAGCCAGGCTCCTCCCCCCTGCCCAAGCCTGCCATGGAAGCTGAGCTGCCGGTCCCGGAGCCCCGGGTGGGGTGGCTGGACTGGACTGTGTGACCGAGGGCCCTGGCCAGGAGCGGCGCCAGGGTTTTTGCCACCCTAGGCGGCAGCTCTCCTCCTCTGAGCATTCAGCGGCGGGGGGCCCTCCCCCCCCCTTCTTTGGGGCACTTCGGCGGTGGGTCCCGGAGCGAGTGAAGGACCCACCGCTGAATTTCTGCCGAAGACCCGGAGCGGAAGGACCTCCCCCGCCGCTGAATTTCCGCCGAGGACGGCAAAATGCTGCCCCCCCAAATCCTGCTGCCCTAGGCGACCGCCTAGGGTTGCCTAGTGGAAGCGCCGGCCCTGACCCCGGCAGTGGCACTGGCCTGCGGGAAGCGCCCTCCCTAGTCCCTCCCATGCTTGCGGGAGGTGGGATCCACGCCCCTGCTGCCTGCTGGAGCCTCTCCCCGGCAGTAGGAGGCAACGTCCCATTCCCCACGGTGGGCCCAGCTATGTGACCCAGTCAAGCAGAGTGCCCCATCTGCTTACATCTCAGCAGGGATGTTTTAAAGGGCAAATGTAGCCCAGACAAGGGTGCTGGATTGGCCCCTGGCTCTGAGATGGGCAGCTCTGGCCTCACTCTACATACACACGGGACCTAGGGAAGGAGCAGGGTCTCAGCCCCACCGTGTGGTGTGTTGATCCAGGAGGGTGGACGCTCCCAGCTCCTCCTCTCCCACTGCCTGGTCCAGGACCAGGTGCTGGGGTCTCCTGGGCAGAGTGGAGGGCGCAGTTCTGGCTGCCTGGGCCAAGGAGCCTGGGCTCCCAAGCCCTGGCCATGCAGCTGGGGGTGGGGAGCAGCCAGTCTGTCCTTAACCTCTCTCCGCAGGGGCGTGCTCGTCCCGTATCCCCTGGATGGGGCGTCCCAGCCCCTGGGGCACGTCACTCTCATGCTGCAGTGCGGAGGGGCGTGGGGATTGCTTTCTGGCTCGCCCCTCTTATCTCTGCCCTGCGCCCCAGTTCAGGGAGAGGTTGCTTGGTTACTGACACTGCTCTTTCCAGCTATGCCACAAGGGGGCGCCACATGATGCCATAATGTCCATCGGGCGAAGCAGAGGCCATTCTTCTAGCTCCGGATCTTGCAGTGAGACAGGACAGTTTGTGAGTTTGGGATGGCGCCGGGGTCACGGGGTGTGGTGGGGGTAACGCCTCTGCCCTGCTGGGCTGGTGCCATCACTACAGCCCTGATCCTGAGCCCACTGATGCTTGTGGCCAAGCTCCCACTGGCGTGAATGGTGCAGAATCAGGGCCCAGTGAGGATCACCCCCAAGGGCAGGTCCTGGGTTTGGGCCCATCTCTCTTTCGCCCCCCGCGAGGGGGTCACACCGGGGGAAAGAGCGAACCCCCCCCCCCCCCCCGAGCAAGCTCCTAAAGCAGGTGTCCTGTCTCACCCCCCATCCCCAGCCTCTCCCCAGGCTCCCCACCAGTGTTCCCTCTCATTTTTTCCATTCATGTGCGGAATGAATTTTGTTATGTGCACCATAGCGAGGTGATGTGCGGATGTGCACCACCAATAGAAACCAAAAACCTAGCTATAATATATATTTTAAAAAAGTTACCATAGGGATAATTACTCCAGCCAGGACAGGTTAGACATTTTAGAACTCACTACTCAAAGAATTAAATTTAAGCATAGAAGATAAATAAAATTATGAAATGCATAGACCAGTCAAAACACTAAAACAACACACTTTGAAAGAAGTATCGAGTTACAACAACAACAATAATACCTGGTGTTGGGAGGTGAGTGTGAAAACAGTGTGTGTGTGTGTGTGTGAGAGAGAGAGAGAGAGACACACACACACACACTGTGTATGTGTGACAGAGACACAGTGTGTGTGTGAGACAGAGAAACACACAGTGTGTGTGTGACAAAGAGAGACACACGCTACCCCTTTAAGTAGCCTGCCCTTTAAGTAGATCAGCACTCAGCAGTCTGAAGCCTGCTTGTTCAGACACAGCAACAGCTGCCAGCAAGCTCCCTCCGGAGCCCTGTCGTGTCCCCCCCCCCCCTCCTGTGGAGATGGGGTACAGTGGCGGGGGGGAGGGGGACACCCTGACATCAGCGCCCCTTTCCCCTGCCCCACTCTGCACAGCAAGCAAGAGGCTCCCGGGAGCAGCTGGCCAGGGGCTTCAAGGCAGAGGGCAGGAGCAGCGAGGCAGTGGGGGGAGGGACACTTGAAAGCCTGCTGGGCGGCCACCCGGCTGCGCAACTTAGAGGGAATTTCCCCACTGAACATTCCCTGCTCCAGATTCTTCCCCCCACAAACGGCTGGTATCTTTCCATTATTTCCTGCCTGCATGTCTAAGGTCAGCCCCTTTGTCTCACTTCTCTGTCCGCATGGGTTGCTTGCGACTCCTCCAGTCTCAAGGTTGCAAAGTTTAGTGAGTTTCTTGGCATATTTCTCAAAGCCCCAGTTCCTGGAATTAGGGGCTTCTATGAGACTCTCATCTTTCATTTAAAAAACAAAGCAAGTTTCCTGCCCTCCTGGTGGCACAGAAAAGATTGAAAACATGACCCCTGAATACTCCAAAGCCAGACAAGAAATGAAAAGAACCCCAAATACAGTATTTTTAAAATCTTGTGATTTCTTTAGCCAATCTCATGATTTGGGGGGATGATCTTTGAATGCATAGGCTGAATCGTGTGATTTTTTGAATGCATGGGAAGGGCAATCCTAACACTGAGTGTTCTCGGCATGTCATTAGCTCCATCAATAGCGATGGCAAATAAAACCCCTCCCTAATAAATAGATACATCATCCTCCATCCAGAGTGGTGCCTCCCCCTTGGCTGGGCACCCTCGTCCCTTCCTGCCTGCTCTAGTGCAAAGCTCCCCCTGGCCTCCCTGAGATGCTTCGGAACCCTGGGCTTGGTGTCTCTCTCTTCCTGCCTCACTAAGGATTCAGCACAGAGCTCTGGAGAGGGTTTATTTACTCATTTCATCTGTGCTGGGCAGGTGCCAGAACACACTCAGCCACTTCAGCTGCATCCCGGCCTCCTGTCAGCAAGGAGCAGAGTGAGAGCTTCACAGTTACTGATCCAACACACTGCCCAACTCTGTGACAAGGGGGTGCCCCTGGGGGCCAACTGGGGTTTGCTCAGCCTTCACAAAGGAACAGAGAGCTGTCCGCGAGATGAATGAGCCTGGCCAGCCCTGTCTCAGGCGCCCCTGCCACCACTGGGCGTGTGGCTGGGCAGAGGTGCCCAGTGACAGGCTCCGTGCTGCCTGCTCCCTGAATGCAGGGCTTGTCAGGGCTGACTCCAGGGAAATGGATACACAGGGTTTGGGGAACAAAGGCTGGCCTGAACCCCCACTTAGCCATGTCCCAGCAGGGCCCAGAAGGGAACGGCAGCTTGGCACATCCCAGTGGAGATCCCCCAACCAAGTGTGAGCCTGGAACGACCTACCTGTCACCCCAAAGGAACCGGGAGCCTAGAACATCTCAGCAATGACCCTTGGATGAAGCATGAGTCTAGAACAATCTGCCCATCACCCACAAAGAAAATGTGAGTCTAGAACATTTCCATGATCCCTGAATGAAGCAGGAATATGGAACAACCTGCTCTTTGCCCCCAAAGAGAGTGCAAGTCTAGAACATGTTGAGAACAGCTCAGGACAAAGCAGGAGCCTAGAACAACCTGCCTATCACCCCTGCAGGGTTTGGTAGCCTTCAATGTCTTGGCAACAGCCCCTGAAACATGGGCCTAGAACAACCCGGCAAACCCTGAGCCTTAAAGTTCCCAGAGTGCTCTTTGCAGTGTCACCCACTGAGCCTTGCAGCTAAGGGCACAACTGGACCCACAGTGATTGGTTTTCAGTGGAGATGTAGCTAGGCTGCAGAAATGGGGTAGCAGTGCTGGCTGTGGGGGAACTCCTAGCTACTCCAGTCCCAGCAGGGCGCACTATAGGGAGTGGAGCAGGAGTATTGGGCATAGGGCAGTTCAGACAGGATCAGGGGTATCTCCGAGTGAGAGGCACAGGGATTCTGGCCTGCACTCACCATTAGCATCTCACTGGTCAGGGAGTTCACCAGGTCCGAGACAGACGAGCGAGGCTCCGTTTTGCGGTCAGACTCATCATGCTGGGTCTGCCCAGGCATAGGGGCTGTGTTCACCATCTTGCCTCCAGACGGCAACCTTGGGAGAGAGGAGCAGTATGTAAGAGAAGGGGGCAGGGTGCCAGGTCCGAGCTGTGGGTCAGGCCGTGCCAATGCAGCCCCAGCTGCTTTCCATCACTGCTATATCCTGATGCCAAGATCCCCCTCAGCATCCCCTGAGACATTCCTGTGTATCCCTCACACCCCTGGATGACTCCTCACCCACCTGGCCCTGAGAGTGTTCTTCTCATACCTCTCACCCTTTTGACTCATAACCATGGATCCAGGCATGCCCCTCAGATGGGCACCTGTCCATCTCGTTCGCTATTGCCCTCAGCCTGGTGCTGATCCCATTTGTCCTGGCCTCCGTCTTGCTCTGGCCCTATAGATAGAGGCCCTCATGTCTCCCCAGCCTCCAGTAATTCCCACCCCTTCAATGCGGGCCTGGGCATCACCCACTGGCACTGCAGGCCCTCCTGTCTTGTACTGGGAGAGATGGGGGAGTGGAGGCAGAGCCTAAGCTATTGCTTCTGCTTCTTTCCACTGACACCCTCCCTTGCCTCTCATACCCATTAACCTCTGGGAACACACACGCTCCCTCTCACAAAGAGGCAGCTGCCTTTGTTTGCTTTCTCCGCCAGGCAGGTGCTGGCCTGACAGATGAGTTGTCTGCCAGCCCCGGCACATGCAGAGCACCTGGGGGAACCCGAGTGCCAGGTGCTACAGGACGTCAGCTCTGCAGGCCAGCAGCAATGGGATAAACTCCCCCAGGGCTCGCAGGCCAGCAACGTGGCAGCCGCGCTGCAGCTGTGACTCCATGCCAGCCCAGTCCTGGCAGCCCCACTATGGCCTGTAACCCAGCAGCCAGGTCCTGGCAGCCCCACTATGGCCTGTAACCCACCAGCCCAGTCCTGGCAGCCCCACTATGGCCTGCAACCCACCAGCCAGGTCCTGGCAGCCCCACTATGGCCTGTAACTGACCAGCCAGGTCCTGGCAGCCCCACTATGGCCTGTAACCCACCAGCCAGGCTGTGGCAGCCCCACGCCCCCCATGTGACATCCCATTGCAGTTCCTGGTGTGTTGGCGGCTCTCACTTACGGTGCTGGGGGAAGCTGCCTGGCTATGCCTCCTTTGCTCAGCACCCTGCCATATGAGCTGCAGTAGCCTTGCCAGGACTCACCACCCCACTAGGAAAGTGACTGTAGGGTCTCCCACATGCAGATAGGCCTTGCTCAGTGCCTGTCAGCAGGGCCTCGCCCTCCTGCCCATGCCTGGGAAGGGTCTGATCCCAGTAGGTGCTGACTCCAGTAGCCTCTCTGTAAAGATGCTAGATCAGGGGTGGCCAACCTGAGCCTTAGGAGGAGCCAGAATTTACCAATGAACATTGCCAAAGGGCCACAGTAATATGTCAGCAGCCTCCCATCTGCTACCCCACTCCAGCCTCCAGCCCACCGGCAGCCCCGCCCCCTCCCTCCCCAGGCCTCCCGCCCCCTGCAATCAGCTGTTTTGCAATGTGCAGGAGGCTCTGGTGGGGAGGAGCGAGGGCATGGCAGGCTCGGGGAAAGGGGCAGGGGCCTTGCGGGAAGGGGTGGAGTGGTGTCAGGACCTGGGGCAGAGCAGGGGGTTGAGCAGTGAGCACCCCACAGCACATTGCAAAGTTAGCATCTGTAGCTCCAGCCTCGGAGTCAGCGCCTATGCAAGGAGCCGCATATTAACCTCTGAAGAGCCTCATGTGGCTCTGGAGCCACAGGTTGGCCACTCCTGTGCTAGATTGCCAATATCATCCCCAACTCTCCTCTTCCGCTGGCCACCCCCATTCCCATCTCTCCCTCTTTCTGCCCCTAAAAGCTGGACAAAACACACAAGCTGGAGGCTTGTTCTTCCCATATAGCACAGGGAGCAGGGCTGGGTCAGCTCGGTCATCTTCCCCAGACATCCAGGAAGTCAGATCCACCTCGATACCCTAGCAGGGATGAACCCATCCTGTAAAGACACTAAGGAGCGGCTTTCACTGGTTCCCCCATTTTCCTGACCACGGTGCCGTCTCTCCGGCCTGGGACACCCAGGCCCCCAATGGCCTGGTGTTCATTCACATACACATGTGGGAGGTCCCAGCTATGCTCGTCCTGGCCTAGCAATTCAATGGCCTCTCTGTGACAGCAGCTGGATCGCTAGGTGCAGTGAACAGCAGTGCTGGGGGGTTTGACGGCAGCAGCCCCAGCACAGATGCTGCAAGAGGAGATGATGCACACAGGATTGGGAGGAAGGAGAGATCCAAGGGATGAGGGCACAGGAGCAGAACACTGGAAAAGGCACAGAGGAGACACACACAAGCCCACATGCTGCTCAGTGTACATGGAAGTAGAACAGCAATGGAGAGACAGGCACACAGGGAGATACAGGCATACAGGGAGACACACAGTGAGACACACACAGGCACACAGGAGAAAAATATAGAGACACCAACATGCAGGGAAATACACACAGAGACACATAGGGTACGCACATACACACAGACCCACATGCAGAGACACAAAACAAAAGCATACAAAACCCTCAAAGAAACACACAGAATCAGACACAGATACCTACTGACACACTCAGAGACAGAGCAACACACACCTAAATCTTCTAGACAGTGGAATCCACACACAGTCTCTCTCACACACCTAGATACGCTCACAGATAGATACACAGATCTAGACAAAGTGTCACAGACAGTGACACACACACATAGACCTAGAGGCACTGACACACTGAGTGACACACATAAAGATCCAGATGCACCAATACTCTCGTAGACAGCATAAGACAGGCAGATCTAGATACACTGATTCACTCACAGGCAGACTGACACACACAGAGATCCAGACACACCGATACACTCACAGACAGAGTGACACACACACAGATAAAGAAAGAGACTGAAATAGCTGGAGAGGTAAAGTCAGGTTAAAAACAAAGAGAGAGAGAAAGTGTGTGATTGATAGCTGGAGGTGTGAACAATTCAGAGGTATTTTGTCAACCCCAGCGCATCGACGAAGCTGCAAAGCTATCTGGGAAATGGTTAGCACCAGCGGAGCTCACAGGACAGGAAGAGAGAGAGAGAGAGACAAGGGAAGAGCAGCAACTTCCACCACAGGGCCTGGCCTGCCTCCTGAGGGAAGGGAAAATGGGAAGAAAGCGTGAGGGGAGAGAAGGAGACACAGAGAGAGATTAGTAAACGAAAAGCAACCACCACACCGACAGGACTAGGCACTGGACTGGTGCCACCAGTGCTAACAAGGGGGACAGGGCTGAGCAGCAGCAGCAGCAGCAGGGCTGGAAGGAAGAAGCAGAGAAAAGGGAAAGGAGGAGACATTACAATGTGATACACCACATGGCCACTGTGAACAGGAGTGCTGGGATGAGGGTAATGGGAGAGAGAGAAAGAGAGACAGGGCCTTCCATGGACCCACAAGCCTCAGGAGCCCTTAGTACCCCTCCCTCCCACCACGCCGGCCCCCACAAGCTACATCCCCCTATATCCCACTGAGACTGGAGGGGTGGGGGAGCTTGTGGGGGGAGCAATAGATGGGCTGGGAGGATGTAGAGGAACAGGGAGGAAGGTGCAGTGTGAGGGGGAACAGGAGATAAGAGTGGGGGGAACAGGGAGAGAGGTGAGGGTGTGGGGGGAGCAGGAGCTGGGGGCTGGAAGGAAGTGGGGGGAACATGGAGCCTATCATTGTCATCAATTCCAAGGCCAGAAGAGACCAGTGTGATCACAGAACTGCCCCAAAATAATTCCTAGAGCAGAGCTTTTAGAAAAACATCCAATCTTGCTTTAAAAATTGTCAGTGCTGGAGAATCCACCATGACCCTGGGTAAATTGTTCCAATGGTTAATTACCCTCACAGTTAAATATTTATGCCTTAGTTCCAGTCTCAATTTGTCTAGCTTCAACTTCCAGCCATTGGATCGTGTTCTACCTTCTCTGCTAGACTGGAGAGCCCATTAGTAAATATTTGTTCCCCATATAGGTACTTATAGGCCTGGTCCACACTAACCCCCCACTTCGGACTAAGGTCCGCAAATTCAGCTACGTTAATAACGTAGCTGAATTCGAAGTACCTTAGTCCGAACTTACCGCGGGTCCAGATGCGGCAGGCAGGCTCCCCCGTCGATGCCGCGTACTCCTCTCGCCGAGCTGGAGTACCGGCGTCGACGGCGAGCACTTCCGGGATCGATCCCAGAAGATTGATTGCCTGCCACCGAACCAGGAAGTAAGTGTAGACGTACCCATAGACTGTGATCAAATCACCCCTTACCTTTCTCTTTGTTAAGCTAAATAGACCTTATAGTGCGTGAGTGTAGCACTATAAGGCACAGTTTCTAATCCTTTAATCATTCTCGTAGCTCTTCTCTGTACCCTCTCTAATTTATCAACATCCTTCTTGAATTGTTGCCAGCAGAACTGGACACAGCATTCCAGCAGCAACCACGCCAGTGCCAAAGGTAGAGGTCAAATAACTTCTCTGCTCCTACTCAAGATTCCCCTGTTTATGCATCCAAGGATTACATAAACCCTTCTGGGCACAGCATCGCACTGGGAGCTCATGTTCAGCTGATTATCCACCATGACCCAAAATCTTTTTCAGAGTCAGCTTCCCAGGATAGAGTCCCGCAGCCTGTAAGCATGGCCTACATCCTTTGTTTCTAGCTGTACACATTTACATTACATAGTAAAACGCATTTTGTTTGCTTGTTATTTACAATTACATTTTGAGACCTATCAGTGAGCCATCTTTTAATCCATTGAATATATGCCATGTTAATTTCTTATCATTCTAGTTTTTTAATCTGTCATGTGGTACCAAATCAAATGCCTTACAAAGTCTATTACATCAACATTATTACCTTTATCAACCCAACTTGTAATCTCATCAAAAAAAAAGATATCAAGTTAGTTTGACAGGCTATATTTTCCATCAACCCGTGTTGACTGGCATTAATTATATTACCCCCTTTTAGTTCTTTATTAATCTAGTCCTGTATCAGCCGCTCCATTATCTTACCCAGGATCGATGTCAGGCTGATGGGGTATGGGGAGAACAGGGGTTAGGAGGGCATGGAGGGGGGACCATGGAGGGTGGGTGAAATGGGGTCACTAGGAAGATGTGGGGGAAACAGGCTGGGAAATGGGGGCCCAAGAGGCTGAGAATGGCAGGCGGTGCCTGGGCCTATCAGAGGGGGAGTATGGAGAGGCAGTGAGGGGAAGGGAAGGAGTGGGTGATGAGCTCACTCATTGCAGAGAAAGAGGAGGTTGCAGGACATGGACAGTTTGATCACCTCCCCAAGAAATCCAGCTCCCGAGGGACCCCCATCCCATCCCCGCACTGCACAGAGGAGGTGAGACTGGCCCCGTCTGGTCAGAGTTCCAGGATGGCTAGACAGGGCCCACCTACCTCTCCCCAAAGTCCCCTCTTGCAGCTCTTTGTTTTCATGAATGACAGGGTCTCTGTAAGGACCAGGCTGATTCTTCCTAACAGGGACAGTGCCCTATTCCATCTGGACCTGACAGTGCAGCCTTTCCCCCTCGCACACAATTCCAGGAGCATGCCCCCTGCTTGCTAACTCCCACTGCAAAGCCAGGGCAACTGCCTGTGGCTAGAGGAGCCTGCAGCAAAGGCCCAGGGCCAGCAGGATGTGGTCGAGGTGTGTGTGTGTGTGTCTCAGAAGTGAGCCCCCTTTTCTAGGCATGGGCACCCCAAATTCACTGGCCCTTGCTGCTTAACAGCACTGAGAACTGGCCACTGAGGACGATCTGGGCAATAGAGTCGGGCACTGAATGGACCTCGTCATCTGTGATGAGATGTTGAGCTTCCAGGGTAGGCTGCTTAGGGTCAGGGCAAATCCTTGCTTTGAATAATGGGCAGAGGGCCTCTGCTGGAGTTGCCTTTCTCCACCCCTCTTGTCTCAGGCTGGATGACTGAAAGCACCATCCCAAGGACCAAGTTGTTGTGCACCAAGTGAAAGTCAAGTCCAGCAAAAGTCTTCCATTAAAGGCAATAGTTTAAGGCCAGGAGCAGGGTCTGCTACAGTGCTGAAGAGAACCTAAATACAACCACAGGCCTGGTCAGGGTAAGAGGGGAATTTTCTGTGGCGTTTAAACACACATCCACCAGTGGATCCTTCTGGGGCAAGAGGGGGACTGTTCCTGGGGTTACACACACACAAACACACACACACACTCCTTCCTGGGATGAGGGGAACTGTCCCCATGTTTGTTCACTGCAGTTTTCCCACGTATGCCTCCCCACTGACCCATCTCTGTCTGCTGGGGAAGACGAGGTATGTGTGGGCAACTTTTCCTTAAATTAATCCATAAACAGATTCACGAGTCCTCAGGTTGTGGAGAAGGGACTTGCCTCCCTAGCACTACAGAGGGTGCTCTCACCAGGTCAGAAGGAGGGTGCGGAGGGGGTGGGGGGAGGGCAGGCTATTCTCCTAGGACCAAGGTGGAAGGTACAGAATGGTATCAGCAGGGGGCGCTCTCTCCAGATTGGAGCATGCTGAGCGCCCAGTAGGAGATCAGCTCCTAGGTCAGTGTGCACAGAACGGACATGTGCCAGCAGGGGATGCTCTCTCTGGGCTGCGGCGATCTCGGCGGGACATGCTCAGCCCACCCCCGCTAACAGCGTCAGATAGGGACAGACTGTGCAATTAGATGATCAAATTGGAAGTGCTAAAATATGTAGTGAAATATAACCACAGCGAGGTATAAATAGTGTGCGGGTGAGAACGGTGCCAGCTAATTAACACACTGATCATGTGGAACCGGCTCCTTCCTTCTTCACACCTCCTCGCAGCTAGAGATGGAATTTAACACGCACTTGGAGCTGCTCGAGGCCTCTGCCTCCAGTCAGCCCCCCCCCCCCCTGATCCCAGCAGGGGAATGAGATGGCACAAAACCACGGGGGGGTGGGGTCGTGGCTGTCACATCACTCCCCTCCCCCTGCGAGGACAGCAGGAAGCTAACAGGGGAAGCAGTCCCTGCTGGGGAGCAGCAGAAAGGCAAAAGGATGCTGGCAGATTTGCTGGCCACGTGGCTTAGGCAATGGAAAGATCAGGGTATAATGTTCTGTGGGGTGTCTCCCCCCAGTTTCCTGACCAGGACTTTGGAACAGCCCAAAGCGTGACTCCACCCCCAGACTCATTGCTGAGCCCCGTGCCTCCCAGGGCAGGACTCAAGGAGTTTAGGCAGGGCTGTGCGGATGCCCCTGCAGTGCAGGCACGATCCGTAAAACTCACAGGGTATATCTACACTGCAGCACGCGTAGACACAGCAGAGCTAGCTGTGATCTAGCCAGCTGGGTTACCAATAGCAGTGAAGCCACAGCAGCATGGGCTGGCCACCTGAAGGCCAGCCAGTGTGGGTACATACTCAGGCGGCTAGCCAGTGCTGCAGTCCATGCTGTTGCGGCTTCACTGCCATGCGTACCGAGCTAGCTAGATCAGAGTTAGCGCGATTATGTCTACACAAGCGGTAATCAGTCCCTGATGACAGTGTAAACATAGCTATGGTATGAAAGCTCCCCACACAGACCTAAGGCCTGCTTCCCATCCTTCCCTGGGGTGAATCTGGAGTGACTCCGGAACAGTCTGGGGGCTGCATTGGTTAAGAGTGAGAAGAGACTCAGCCCCCTGGAGCTCACTGCCCTGAAACACCCAGTCACCCCACCATTGACTCATGGCTGCCAAGGTGCTTGCACATCTGCCCACATGGGATGTTCCTTGCACTGATGTGAGGGGAGATGGGGCAGTGCCCCACCACCTCAGAAGCTGGGCCTTGGGGGGGGGGGGAGGGAGAACCAGGAGGGAGTCAGGGATCACCTGGAGGAGGCTGGAGTGAGAGAGGTTGTAGGGAGAGCCTGGAGCGTTACTGGGGATTGGAGAGGGCTTGGAGCAGCCTGAGGAAAGGGGTGATGGGGAAGTGGGAGCCTGGAGTCTCCCAGGCTCCCCCCAATCTGCCCTCCATTTTGTCCCATTGCAGCCCTGGCCCCCTCCTCTCTTGGGTGTGTATACTGGCCCGGAGCCAGCTGAGGGGCCCAGGAGAGGAGAGGCTGCCAGAAGCCAGGGAGTGGCAGTCAGGAGCGGTGAAAGCAGCTGCCTGCCAGCGGTCCATGTGGCTGGCAGCAAGAGGAAGGGAAACCTTAGCCCCAGAGCTGCTAGGAAATATCCTGCCATCCCTGTAGCCAGAAAGAAACCCAGGGATCCTGGGAAACAAAGGTACTTCTCATATCACAGCTCAGCAGCCAGCACGGTGGCCCAGGGGCATGTGCCACCATAGGTGGTGTATTTGGCAACAAACAATGGGGTGGCTGTCACCTCCCTGGGTCTAATGTGCAAATATCAGTGACTGTGTCGGGTCTCTCTGGAGAATAGCATGAGAGCAGTAGATTCCCTCTCCACTGACTCTTCCCTCCCCTCCCTGCAGTTCACTGTCTCCCCCTGCCCCAGGCCAGCCAACACTGTGGAGTTAAGTTAAATGCATGGGGTGGAATGTTGGTCCCACTGAAGTCAATGGCAAAGTTCCCCTTAACTTATGGGGCTGGGATTTCAATCACGGAGGTCTTGGTTCTCCGGGATGTGGTGTACAGGGGATTGAATGAAGCCAGGAACTTCCTGGCAGGTCATTCTCCAGCTCTCTGCTGAAGCACACAGCACCTCTGAGTGACCACAACCAATACCGCCTGATAATGCACCAAGGAATTGAAACTGGGGGACTTGCCATGGCCTTGACTACTGAGCCCAATGGACCACAAATTGCCCTGAGGTCCTCCTCTCGTCCCTCTCCATTCTATTGGTCTTGTTCCCCTCTGTCCCCTGGATCTTTTCAACTCCTCTCCCTTCATGTCTTCGCTTCCCATCATCCTTAGCTAAGCAGGGTGAGGATGCTCAAAGGCGGGAATCGGTGTGGCCACCACCCTGCTCCCTGACACCCATCAGAAGAGAGGGGAGGGGATGAGACATGGAGGTGAATGGAGCAGGGGAGGTGGCAGAAGGGAAGGGAGGAAGGAGGATGAGGACAATTCATTTCTGCCTGAGGAAGGCGTGATTCCCAAGCCCCAGCGCTCTCCCAACAGGGACGCAAACACCAGGATTAGGTACTTGGGAAAGAGGAGGGAGCCTGCCACACGGCTTTGAAACAGCACTGTGCCCAGCACCCGAGCTGCTTGGCGTTCCCCCCCTCCTGCTGCGCCAACCTTCCACTCTCACTGGCAGTGGGAGCTGCCACCAGCCTCCTCCGACCCTCAGCGGGGCCCTCTCTTCTCCTCCTGCTGCTGAAGCGCCCTCTCCCTTACTCATACCTCTTGTCCCCCTGAGAGTTCTGCGCCTGCTGGTTCCCAGCGGTTTGCAGATCGGGTATATTGGCAAAGTCGTCCTGTTCCGAGAGTCCCAGAACCAGGGATAACACCACCATCCGGCCTTCCCTGCCCAGGCGAGAGCCGGCCGCGGAGAGGACGAGAGCAGGAAGCAGAAAGGAAAGAGAGAGAGAGAGAGAGAAGAACAAAGCATGAGAAACAAAACCAAGAGGAAAACAGCACCTTAGAGACAGAGTGTGTGGCTACTCAGGGTTGGGATAGATACCCACAATACAGAGCCAGAGGCTCCCCAGTTGGAGATAACATGGAGTACAGACCTGTGGGTGGCTATTTTACAACAGAAAAAGTTCAAAAACAGACTCCAGCGAGAGACTGCTGAACTGGAATTGATATGCAAACTAGATACAATCAATTTAGGATTGAATAAGGACTGGGAATGGCTGAGCCATTACAACATTGAATCTATCTTCCCTTGTAAGTATTCTCACACTTCTTATCAAACTGTCTGTACTGGGCTATCTTGATTATCACTTCAAAAGTTTTTTTTTTTTTCTCTTACTTAATTGGCCTCTCAGAGTTGGTAAGACAACTCCTACCTGTTCATGCTCTCTGTATGTGTGTATATATATCTCCTCAATATATGTTCCATTCTATATGCATCCGAAGAAGTGGGCTGTAGCCCACGAAAGCTTATGCTCTAATAAATTTGTTAGTCTCTAAGGTGCCACAAGTACTCCTGTTCTTTTTGCAGATACAGATTAACACGGCTGCTACTCTGAAACATGGAGTACAGAGTAGATTGTTGGACAGAGAATCTCCAAAATGTGGCAAATGCACTTGGCACTTCTTTCTGGCCATGGAGACCAAGGCTAAAGTCAACCAGCCATGGTGCCACTTTTCAGTAGGAAAGAGGCGCTTGCGTTATTCGTGGGGAATCCATCACCAGTGGACACTTGAGAATCAGCTCCAGAAAAGATTGTCAATCTAATGCAGGGCGTCTCAGACCTCTCTCTAGTGTGGATTGCATCTTAACAGAGAGGCATCCCTCGGGGGCAGTTCCCCTCCCATTGGTGATGGCCTCTCCTCCGGGAGTTGTGACTATGCAGGGGATGAAGGTTAGCAGAGAAGACAAGATGGAAGTGAAGGCAGGTGAACAGGGGCTGAAGGTTGGTGTGGAAGGCAAGAGAGACTGGGTAACATGGGAAGGATGGGCATTAAACTAGGATTGCTATGGCTATGGGAGGTGCCCTGGTTCTGAAAGAGAGGAGTAACAGTGTGCGGCGGAGAGTGATCCTTGGTGGTTTGATAGCTGGGGCTTGTTGACGACCAAAGCTCAGCTGGTCTGTGGATAAAGGCGAGTTGGTATTTTACTGTTGCACTGGCAACCACTGCACAATTTGCCAAAATGCATCCTGGCCGACTCCAGAAAATCTCCCAGTGACTTCAGGAGGAGTTTCACCTGGATTTGGACCTTCTTCCAAAGCATCACGTATTGGCCGCAGCAGAGGGAGGATACCATGCTAGACAGCCCAATGCTCTGATCCAGGATGGTAAAGCCTATGGTCATATGGTTTCCGAAGCACATTCATTTCAGGTGATAGCTTTCCGTAAAATTACCCCATCCTGGGATGATATTTCTCTCTCTCACTTCTCAGCCCAAAGGAGAAGATTTATTTAATGAAAAGTTTGGGAAAATTCTCCTTGTCTGTATTTGAAATTATCCTCATCTAACTGTAATCTAATCTAATCTATTTGAGGCAGGTGTGTATTGGAGAGATGGTAGTGAGGAATGGGTCCTGATGACAGCTCTGCATTGGGGAGCTGCCATTGGGGACAGTGGTAGGGTGGTTGGGTACATGGATGTTGGTTCTAGCAGAGGAGGTCACAGAAATGTTGATTACTGAAGGCAGCCTGGCTTTACTGGGCGAGCTGGTGCTGGAGATGGATGGAGTTGGAATAAGGCGGCTATTGGGGAGCTGGTACTTGAGAATGATTATAGGAGGCTGCTGTCGAATCAGGGTGGGTATGGAGACTACCTATGATGCAAGCTGATCTGGATGCTTGGGACAGAAATTGGCCTGGTAGCATGGGTAGGTTGGGTCAGAGGGTGGGGATACTGGAGGGTCTTAGTCATATGCAGATTGCCATGGGAGGCAGTGAGTAGTAGGAGCTAGAATTGAAGGAGAGTTCGTACCAAACGGGGGAATCTCTGGGGAGCTGGTGTTAAAGGGCAGGTTTTCTGTGAGGGGAAAGGGCCTAGCTTAACAAATTAGGCCTAAGCCATCCCTGCTTTAGCTCTGCTGTGGTCAAAGGCATTTCCCAGGGCTGGATTGATCTGTTGTTTCCCCAGCTCAAGCCGTCCGGACTAAGTAAATAGAAAGGTTCTCCGCAGAGTACTGCTGGTCGCTCAGAAGCATGAACCTTCGGAATGAGTGTCAGCTCCAATTTAAACCTCACCCCTGCTGGGAGCACAAGGGCTTTTCAATTCTGAGTGAGCAAGACTTTCTGACCTTTGTCGCTGGGCAGCGGTTCTGCGGGCCCCAGGCTCTTATGTGTTGTGGAGACAACAAATAGCGTCATGACCCCGGGTCAAGAGCAGTGCCTTTGCCGCTGAAGTGTGATGCAGCCGCTCCGACACGTACGTGCCACTACTTATTACGGCTGACGAGAGCGTCTTGCAGATGCTTTCGCATCTCTGAACTCACCGCTCTTGGCTGGCTTAAAAAGGTACCGGGGCGCTCTGGGCAGGGGCGCTGTGTAATTGGATTTGAAGCTGCTGCGTGGCTTGTGTCTGAGATCAGATGATCATTGTGCGAGGCAGGAAAGGCCGGGCATGAGAGCAGGAGAGGTCAGGACAAACAGCACGACACTCGGGAAGGAGCCAGGGTAGAAACAGCCTCCTCTTGCTCCTTGCAATTCTAAATGCATCTGTGTTACAGATCACGAGAGATGGTTCTCTATTCGTTGGCGAGGGAGCATTGTGCTGTGATTAAGGCACGGAGTAGGGGTCAGGCCATCTGAAGTCCCAGGGTGGCCTTGGGCAAGTGGCTAAGGCCTAGATCCCCATAGGTATTTAGGTGCCTAACTCCCACTGCAACCCATGAGAGTTAGGCACCTAAACACCTTTGAGGATCTGGGCCTCAGCTTCTGGGCACCTCAGTTTCCTACTCAAAAGGGGGCTCATCATACATTTCTGTCTCACACTGCGCCTAGGAGGACGATCTCATCTAGGTACAATGACCCAAACTAGGCGCCCTACACACCTGAATCCACCTTTAGGCCCCTCACTAAGCAGCCTGATTTTCAGACGTGCCGACCACCTGTAAATCCCACCGGTTTTCAAGAGGAGCTGGCACCTCTGAGAATCAGGCTGCTTCGGCGCCTAGTTTTAGGCAACCACTTTTGATGACATTGGCCTGCTTGAATAAGGCTGGGCTTTTCAGAAAACCTAAAGATCCAAAAGCTGATCGCTTAATTCCCTTCGTTGCCTTTGACAACCCCGGCCCTTAATCTTCCCAGCAGCAAAGCGGGACAGAAAGGCGTTTTCATCCTACTTCACAGAGCGGGACGTTGAGGCATGGAACAGTGCAGCCATGTGCTCAAGGTCATACTGGGTATGTCTACACTGGAGCTGTAGGTGTAAATGCCGGCTTGCGGAGACCTACCCGCACTAGCCTTAGCGTGCTAAAAATAGAGTGTAGCTGCGGTGGGAGAGACTAGCCACCCAAGTGTGTGCCTAGCATCTCGTATGGGCTCGTACTTGGGGCAGCTAGCTCCTCCCAACACTACACTTCCATTTTTAGTGCACTAGCTCGATCAGAACTAGCAAGGACATGTCCTCATCTCCTCAAGGACATCTTGAGGACATCTCCTCAAGCGGGAACTGCCACCTCTTGTTCAGAGTCAGTAGCAGAGCTGGGGTTAGAACCCAGTCCGCCCAACTCCTTTGAACCCCTAGACGGTGCTCGCTCACTGACTGATGCCAAGGGTCTCCCATCTGATCAGTGGACGTTTGGTATCTGTAGAGCACTTTGAGAACGTGGGTTGGAAGATGCTAAGTGTATGGAGTTATTATTATTAATGTCCTGGGAGCACACCCTTCCTTGCTGCAATAGGTAGAAGAGAGGGTCTATGCAGGAACCTCCCCAAGGCTGGGACAATGTCCATTTGGTCCCCAGGGCAGTGTCAACTAGTTTGGACTGAAAGGAGCCCATTTAGAACATTTCCCTCTCCAACTGCCCTCTGTCCCCTAGGTTCAGTCTGACACTATCTGCTGGGATCCAGCCCAGGCAGGACTCTTTAAAGGGAACATTTTGAAACTCTGGGGGAAGTTGAACTTCCAAATGAGGGAGGGCCCAGGGATCACTGCTGTTACCCTGTGGTCCCAGTCCTGCAAGGGGCTGAGGGGATGCACTAGGTGGCCTCAATTCCCCCCTCATTAGGCACTGAGGGTGTTCAGCACCTGGCAGGACTGAGCCCCACATTGCTGGATTGTGCTCTAGCTCTACCACAGGTTATGGGCTGGGATGCTGGAATCACTGGGTGAGGTTCTCTGCCCTGTGCTATGCAGGAGATCAGATTAGATTATTAGAATGGGCTTAAAGTCTATCCAGCTATGCAAAGGATGGCATGCTGAGCTGCTGTGACTAGCCAGGGAGCCTGCACCAGCCAAAGCAATGAGGACTAGACAGAGTGAATAGGGTCTGATCCTATTGGAGCTGCTGCCATCAGAAGCATGGGTGGGTTTGCGTTGGCAGAGGCCTAGTGCCATCTGACTCCACTCCTAGGTAAAGTGCTTCTCGGAAGTCAGGACCAGCCAACAGCATGGCAGCAGCTGTGGAGCAGGGCCCTGCAAAGATGCTTGTCTGTTATGGGGGGATTAGGAAACACCGAGTGCAGAAAACAGTGGCAAAAAATACCCCTGGGCCCTGGTCCTGTTGTCTCACTCCCTGAGTGTCACTGCTGTGTTTTGTTTCTTAACAGAACTAGAAAGGTTTCCTTAGGTGAATGGGAGGCAGCTCAGATGGGGGAGAGAACCGAGAAAGGTCACGCAGGGTGAGACAAAGGCCAGACAGTGGGAGGGGGAAGGAGAGGTCACATGGGGCCAGACCAAGTGGGAGGGGCTACAAATGGTTGGAGGGGATGAGACAGAGCTCAGACAGAGCTAGGGATGGTCTGGATGGGCTTCTTCACTCAGAGGCGGCTCTATGTATTTTGCCGCCCCAAGCATGGCAGTCAGGCGGCTTTCGGCAGCATGCCTGCAGGAGGTCTGCTGGTCCCACACCTTCGGTGTACCCACCGCCGAATTGCCGCCGAAACCGCGGGATCGGCGGACCTCCCGCAGGCACACCGCTGAAAGCAGCCTGATTGCCGCCCTCACGGCGACCGGCAGGCCGCCCCCCGCGGCTTGCCGCCCCAGGCACACGCTTGGTGCGCTGGTGCCTGGAGCCGCCCCTGCTTCTACTGCATGATTTGTATCTCAGAAATGCACTGCAATTGACAGGAGAAAGGACGAGAGAGAGAGAGAGAGAGAAATTGGCTCCAGACATACATGAGAGAGGAAAGAAGGGGAGAGAGAATGCATAGGTGCTGGAACTAAGGATGCTGCCGCACCCTCTGGCTTGACATGATTTCCATCATATACAGGGTTTAGAGCAGGGGTCTCAAACACGCGGGCTGCATGCGGCCCGCGGAGCTCTTCCCTGCGGCCCACCAAGCTCCCTGCGCCCCCCCCCCCCCGTTCCTTCCTGTCGCCGCCAAACTCCCCTCACCCTCGCCCCCCCCCCAAGTTATTTTATGTGTCAGCTAAGCTCCCCGTGTGCTGCTCCCCAATGTTTGGGGCCGGGTCTCTCCCCCGGCCCCGCCTGCCGCCCCCACGCACCTCCCCCAGGTGTCCCCCAGCCTCACTTGCGGCCCCTTCACTGCCCCGGAGCCTGCAGCTCACGGCTTCTGGCATCACTTGCTGCCGCAGGGTCCTAGTGCCCCCCTACACTAGGGTCAGGACAGGCTGCCCTTCCCCTGCCCTAGTCCTGAGCCTCTCCAAAGCCCCAAGCCTCTCCAATGCCCCAAACCCCTCATCCCCAGCACCACAGCCCTCACCCCTGCACCCCCTCCTATCCCAAAACTCCAACCCAGAGCCTGCACCCCCACTCCCTGCCCCAGCCCGGAGCCTGCACCCAGCACCCAAACTCCATCCCAGAGTCTGCACCCCAGACCCCCTCCCCCATCCAAACTCCCTCCCAGAGCCTTAGGCAGGTGGGGGTGGAGTTTGGGGGGGGGGGCGGGTTTTGGGCACCACCAAAATTTCTACAAACCTGCCACCCCTAGAAGAGGCAGAGCTGGGGTGGAGTGGTGGTGCAGCCCAGTGCACTGGGTGGGGGCTTTACTGAGTGTATATATATTATTAAAACCACTTGGAGGAGGAGGTGGAGAAGAGATGGGGCAGGGGCAGGGCCTCATGGAAGGGGTGGAGTGGGGGCAGGGCCAGGGGCAGCGAGGGGGGGTGTCAGTGATGCGGCCCTCAGGCCAATGCACTAGTCCCTCATGTGGCACTTGTGGTCATTTGAGTTTGAGACCCCTGGTTTAGAGTTTGGTTCAATGGTTCTCAGCAACCCCGCTATACAAATTGTTCCAGCCCTCCTGAGAGAGAGTGAGGATCCCCCAGACCAAAATGGAGTGAGAGAGAAAGAGAAAGACCTTGACCAGATACCAAGTAGGACATGCACTCAGCTCTCCATCTAGAGACAGGGAATGCAGGCTAGCCCGGTGTGGAATGTAGATTTTATCAGTGAGTCTGGGATGGCTGCATTGCACATGGTGAGACAGGCACATCCTCCCAACCAAGTTCCAGCTGAGCCTTTGTGTCTCCTACAGATACTGGACATTTTAGGAAAGCTTTAGAGATTTTTAAAATTGTTTTATTGGGACTATATTTTGTATTCCTTCGCCTGCAAAGGTGAGTGCTTTAGCTGTCATGAGCCTGACTGTTCAGGGCTCAGAGAGAGCCACAAAAGAACCCAAACTAGCACTCATGTACCTGAACATGCCACAGATTTAAAGTCTGTTATTCTGGGCCCTTCGAGGGCCAGAAGTGCTGGGTCCCATTGGGAAGCAGTTGGAGATCGCCCCTTCCTGAACCTGGATCACATCTTCCTAGAGATTTACCAAGCTTCCATCCTCTCCCATTCCTGATCACACCAACCAGCTTCCCTCATGGGCAACTCATCCCCATGTCAACCACAGCAACTGCTTGCATGGAAAAGAAATAGGCAGATATTTCTGTGCTCTGCATATCTACAGAATAGCCCACTCAGCTCCAGCCTACTGGTTATGCGGGGGGAGGGGGGGGGGCCACTGGCATGCCTGCCATGCTATTTAAAGGCTCGGCTCCCTCTCTAGAAGAGCGAGCGTTTTCACCCACTTGAGATCCCAGGATGCTTTGCGCGGATGATGCAGCCTCGTTAGTGTAGCCTCCTTTGGGCCTCCAGAGGTTAATAAATGCATGTGCATTAAAATGCGGAGGAGCGGGAGTTTGATGGTAAACAAGATGAAAAACAAAGTTAATGGTTTTTTGGAAGTAATGGAACTAAATGGCTGTGCTCCTCGAAGGGCAAAAGCAATAGAGCTGCTCAGCTCGTTCTCTTTCTGTGGGTACTTTTTTCAACCAATTAAGGCTGGAATAAGCAAATGAAGCTGTGCAAACAGAGAGGTCTATAATCCTCTGGAGGGCTAATGAGATTCATCTATAAATCAGGAAGCAGGCAAATGGAGCCTGCTATGAAAATCTTTAAGGCCAAGGCCAGGAGGCAAAAGGGCCTTGGTGCTGAGCAGGGTGTGAACAGCCACGGAATTGGCTGAATTAATAGCAAATTAACCCCAAGGATGCTGATCACCATCATTGGCGTAGTGAGTTTGCATCTTCCATCCAAGGATCTGAAAGAGCTTTATCTATGAATTAAACCTGACGCGCCGTGCTCTCCATTAGGCAGGATGGATTCCCTGCCGTGAGTCAGAGCCTCAACTGGCGTCAGTCAATGTGGTTCCTTATCCATCTAAGTAGTTACCTGGCATCTGAGCACTGCCCACTCACTAATGGGTTTTAGTCTCAGAACACTGCTCTGAGGTCAGGAAGCATTATCCCATTTCACAGATGGGGAACTGAGGCACAGGGCAGAGTAAGTGAACAGCCCAGGTCTCTTGAAGCCCAGTCCAGAGTTCTAACCACCAGACCATCCTTAAAAATAAAAAATAAATTAATGGAGATATCCTATCTCCTAGAACTGGAAGGGACCTTGAAAGGTCATCGAGTCCAGCCCCCTGCCTTCACTAGCAGGACCAAGTACTGATTTTGCCCCAGATCCCTAAGTGGCCCACTCAAGGATTGAACTCACAACCCTGGGTTTAGCAGGCCAATGCTCAAACCTCTGAGCTATCCTTCCCACCCACCACTGAGTCAAGGGAGCAATGCTGACTTACACCAACTGGGGATCTGGCCCATTCACTCCAATGGCATTACATCAGTTTACGCCAGCCGAAGATCTGGCCCAACGTGTAATACACTCTATGGGAGTTACAACGTGGTTCCCATTGTATATGGGTCCCGCTGGCTAACGAGTGAATGGAAGAGCAGGGCGCCTTGGGAGAGTATTGGCAGGGGAGGGGCACATGCTCAGAAGATAAGTGAGATTTTCATAAGCAGAGATATAGTGACAGCAAGGGACTCGGCTTAGTCCATGGCGTTGGGAATGTAAAAGCCATCACTGATAGGAGACGCATTTACAACTGATGAGAGATCACACGCCTCCAGCTGCTCTGACACAGCTGCATTTAGGGATCACGGTCGTGAAGGATCTGCGGACTAACACTCCCAAGGATAAGCGCAGACAATCGCCTCCTTCGCAGTGGGAATGTCAGTTTCCAAGCAGTACAAAGAGAGTCCACCCCATGGCGGGAAGAGAATTCCTGTCCCTGAGCTGACAGGCTCTCTCCTCTCCCAAAGGCAAGACCATGTACTGTCTGCAGCTACACCTAGGGATGGAGCCAGGACCACACGGGCACTTTCTCCCAGGTCTGATCCAGGATTTTGGTTCAGCCCATTCTACAGACAGTGAGCAGCTGTGGAGTGAGGAGCCAGACCTGCAGTTCCCCAAGAGTTTGTGGAGTTTTGGAACCAGGATTCAGCAGCTCTGCTAAGACGGACTCAATGGGCCTGTTCTCCTGCTTTGGGAGAAGGAAGTGGATGGGACTTACTGGTTCCCTGAGGCAGGAGGGCTGGGCCCCAAAAGTTCCTCTCCAGCCAAATTCACAGGATGCTTTAGTCTGAGATTTTACTGGATATGTGGGGCAAAGCGACTAGATTTGATGGGAGCAGAGAGGGAGGGAGGGAGGGAGATAACCTTTCCCCAGACATTTGGAGGGAGAGTAAGGAGAGAGAGACCCCCTCTTCCTCCGTGTCTCATGGATTGGGGACAGAGATCTATGCAGGGTAACAGCTGCCTCTGCCACGTGCAAATAAGGATCAGAGCAGTGAGAGAGCTGGTGGCGCTGCCCACGAGAGAGGAAAATTCAGTGGCCAACATGGCATTGGGTGCCTGCCACTGGCTAGCAAAGAAGGAGCAAGTGAAACAAACGAGAGAGAGAGAGAAGATAAAGAGAACTTACAGGAAGGACTTCACGTCCAAGCCTCGGTTGCGAATCTGCCCCACCACGTGGTCCCAGCTCCCGGGGTTGGAGCGGCTCCGGCCGCCAGCCGTCCGGTGCTTGGAGCCAGCCGAGACCCCTTGCCGTGACTGGCCACTCCGGCCCCGGGGGTTGCCGCCGCTGGAAGAGGAGCTGGTGTGAGACTGTAGGTGCCCCAGGCTCTGGCTGGTGGTGGGCTGGCTGTGGTTGCTTTTCTGGTGCTGGCTAAGCGGCTGCTGGAGGCTCTGCTGGCGCATCAGCGTGCGGGGACGCTGGCATTTCGGGTCTCCTGCTGAGGTGGGGATATACTCAAGGGTAGTGGCTGTGGACATGGTGGAGTCCTCGAAACTTAGAGAGGGGGAGGGCAAAGGAGAGGAAAGAAAGGAGAAGAAGGTGAAGGGGCAAAATTGGAGGAAGCAAAAGAAGAGAGTTAGAGAGAAGATGCCCCAGCGTGGCGCGCTCTCTGCCGGGGGCCTTCGGAACCAGCAAGCCGCCCCTCTAGGTCTTGGCCCTGTCTCTTCCTTCCCAGAGGCGCAAGCTCTCTGCCCCGTGGCCATCTCGCCTGCCCGTCCGCCCCACTCCATGTCTCCCAGACTCTGTCCGATCCTTGAGGGCTTGGTGTGTCCGTGAGCCGACGTTGGGGATACTGCTGTCCCCGTTCCTTTCCCACTCGGCTCACGGGAAGCCTGCGCCTTCTCAGCACGCCGGCCGACCTCCTTTCTGAGCTAATTAGGCTGCTGCGTGAAGGCGAACCCCCCAGTGTCTGCACTGCTTCCCATCATGTGGGAAACGCCCCTCTCCCCATTGGCTGCAGCTGGGCAGCCACTCAGTCCCTGAAAGGGACTGTGAGGTCGGGGGCTCTCCAAAGTCCCGGGACCGGGCTCCTCAGCAAAATTCAGGCCAAGCTGTTGTGAAAAAGGCGCATTCCCAGCCACTCAGGTTCCGAAGTCAAGCACCACAGAAGCCCCTCAAGTGTACTGTGCACATTCCCTGGGGCACAGCGGCAACGTCAGGCCTGGCGCATGCATGGGGCAATGACTTCCCAGTATTCTCTCTCCTGACTGGCTGCCCCTTCCTCTGCCCCCACCACAAACATGCTGGTGATGGTGCAGTGCCAATTGGGAGGCAGCCCAAAGCCCAGCCATGAGGTGAAAGCCCCTGGACTCAAACTTTCCTTTGCCCTGCAGAGAGGGGAAAGATGCCTGCTTGTCTCTTGCATCTGTGTTTTTTAGCTTTCGGGATGGCTCTGCATTTAAGGGCCAGATGCTCAGCCGGGGTAAATCAGGGCTGCATCACTGACTCCAAAGGGACAACGGCCAGGTCACGATCTGGCCTTTGCAATGTTTGAACCCTGGTGGAACAGCTGAAAAATACAGCCAGCTGCCCACGTGGGGACAGGGGCTCATCTGGGTATGAGATACGGAGCGCATGGGCTGACCCAGGACAGAGCACATGACAAGACAATGCAATGGTACAACTAGCTAACCATGCAGCCAGACCCATGGGTGATCACATGGCTAAACATGCAGCCAGGCACATGGTACAGCACCCAGATAAACACAGAGCCAGATACATGGCAGAGCACCCAGATAAACACACAGTCAGATACATGGTAAAGCACCCAGATAAACACACAGCCAGGCACATGGTAGAGCACCCAGATAAACACACAGCCAGATACATGACAGAACACCCAGATAA